GAAAAGTGCAACAGTGAATGAATGGAATTCCAAAATCTCTGTAGATGTTCATTGAAATAAAAAAAAATAAAAAATTTTAAAAACCCCACCATATAGTTGAAATTCTTGCTTCAAAATAAAGGCAATGAAATTATTTTAAATGTCACTTTCTTATCTTTTTTACTATGTTTTACTGTTCTATGTGTTAAGAAGGTTATTTCTTGACATCAGTTGTACAGTGGAGCTAACCATAGTTTGATGACCTGCATCCAGTCATGTATGGGTGGGCTGGCATCTGTTCTACATTAGGGCACTATGAGTGACGGCCACCTCCAGGATTTGGGAATTAGCATACACCGCACATCAACACCTGCCCCCCAGTATACCACAATACCAATGCATTTAGGCCACCATATGGACTTGGAAGACACAGTAATTGCATTTTTAAAAAAATATGTTTTGCACACCAGATTGTTCACTTAAAATTCATAGGTAAATGACGAAGTAAAGTTGACATAACAAATTTTAGTGTATCATACTGATGATCACATAAAACTGCGGTCAGTGACTTACTGGGCTAGTAAGCATGGTTGGTGTAAAAACACAGTAGGGGCATCAGGCCACCGAACTTCACACAGGGAAGAAAGAATCAGCATCAACAGCTCGAGGCAGATCCTTGTAAGGTGGAGAGCTGACAAACTTCCTCATTACACTTGCTGCCCTCCCACTGCTGTGTACTTCTCTGTTAGATTCCATGATGTGTTGCAGCAGCCACACAACTCACCATACCAAAGTAGTTTGTTAAAGAAGTCAAAGGGTACACCTAGGGGTTATAAACTCCTCCAATATACATCTTCAATCAGAACTGAGGGACCTCTTGAGCTGGAAAAGCCAGCTACCACCCTACTCCAGCAGGTGTTTCAAAGTTCCTATAGCCCTCCCAGTAAATGTTTACGAATATTTGTATTTGCACTAAAAAGTGTGTTTATTGAATGCAAGTCCTGTTTCAAGTTTTTTTCATGCTTCCAGTTAATCCTAGCTTCATGAAGTAGATAGTATTATAATTTCTGCTTTGTAGGTGAGAATTTCATATCTCAGAGTACTTAGACAACTTCCCAAACAATATTAAGCCAAACACCAAGGCAGTGGGCACTTGGGTTATTGTTCTGCTTCCTTTAACCGAAATAGCAACCCTTGAATTGTGTTGGAGAAGAATAGTGAATATCCCATGGACTGCCAGAACAACAACTCTATTTTGGAGGAAGTGCAGCCAGGTTGCTCCTTAGAGGCAAGGATGGTTTGAAACGTCATCTCACATACTTTGGGCATTTTGTCAGGAGTCCTTGGAAAAAGAAAATCTGGGAAAAGTGGAGGGTCAGAGAAAGACCCTCAACCAGGTAGATTGACACAGCAACTGTAACACTGGACTTGAGAGTATCAGAAATTGTGAAGTGGGCACAGGTAGGTCAAGTTTCAGAGCTGTTCCTAGGGTCACTTTGAGTGACAATCGACTCCACAGCATCTACCAACAACAGTGTGTAGTCTGTAAAGAACAGTGATGTCTGTTGTGATGTGCGTGCTGAGTTGATTTTTTTTTTCAATATGAGGCTGACACCAGACAGGTTTTATTATCTTTGGGGGGAAAAAAAATATGGAACGCTTCACGAATTTGTGTGTCATCCTTGTGCGAGTTGATTTTTTTTACTCATAGCAACCACGTATGTACACCATGAGTACAGCTCCTCTTTAGTGGTTTCTAGATTGTAATCTTTACAATAGGAGACATAACAACAACAGTATAAGGGGAACTGGTGGCCTAGTGTAAGGGGCTGCACTGCACTGTCAGCACAAAGGCATGTGGTTCAAATCCACCAGCTGCTCCGTGGGAGGATGGACCATTTACTGTCTCTGAAAACCCACTCGAGGGTCAGCTATGAGTTGATTCTGACTTGATGGTATATAACAACAACAACAGTACAACTGTTAGTGTTTATTACTTTTTGTCTGATTTCCCTATATTGTCACTTGGAATTTTAAGTTTTAACATTAACTTACTATTTAAAAGATGGTATTTGTTTTAAAAAAACCTTTGCAGGAATATTCAGGTTCTTTTCAGGTGAAGTGGTTTGGGTTTTTTTTTTTAATTAAGTGTCTTATTGCTTGTAGGAAACTTCGAGTCATTGGACCTTGCAGAATTTGCTAAGAAGCAGCCATGGTGGCGCAAGCTATTTGGACAAGAATCTGGGCCTTCTGCTGAAAAGTACAGTGTAGCCACCCAGCTGCTCATTGGAGGTGTCACTGGCTGGTAAGTGGTTTGACAGTTGATGGTTTTTTACATGACTCGGCATTCCAGTTACCAGATCCGTCTCTCTTAATACATGAAACCACATTAACATGATACTGGTCACTTACTGTGTTGCATTCATCTAGACATTGTGTTTTAAAATAGTACTTACTGGTTTAACACATAGTGAATACAGTCACTCTCTGGGCTATCAACAAAATCCGTTCCTAAGTCTGTTTTTTCAACTTGTCGCTAAGTCTGTCTTCAGTTTGTTGCTAAGTCTGAACAGGTGCATGTAGTTGTTACTTACTCCTGCTTTATATAAAAAACAGCTGAAGACCTTCACAGTGCTTTAAAAACCACACATGGAGGTGAGCATGATGAAGTTGTGAAAGAACTTGGTTTAATTTCAGTCATTTCAAAATGAGGTCAGATTTGTATAACGTTAAAGACAAGTAGGAATTATTCGTACATCCAACGTTAGTAACCTGAGACTTCCTGTGTGTACTCTTTACTATAAATTATCTTGTTTCTTTCTCTCAACAACTCTCAGATTGATCACGATCCTTTTCTACTTCTCCTTTTATAGAAGAAGCAGGCTCAGAAAGGTTAACTTTCTCAAGGCTGTATAACTAGCAAGTTGTGGAATAAGAAGTTAATCACATAACTATGTAATGATAATTTCTTAAATATGATCATTTATTATTTCATTTTTAGTATACTTAAGATGTTTTTTGGTTTGTTTGTTTGTTTTTTAATTTTAACAGAATTTATTGATTTTCTTTGCATGTATCTAATCTAGTCTGGCTTCTGAAGGCCCCTCTGAGCTTTTCTGGCCTTGCTTCTGGGCGGCCGCTGTAGCTTTTAAGATCCTTTTTTGCTTCTTCAGCTTCTGAGCCTCCTGGAAAACCCGAATGCACAGTTCCTTCTTGGCCACCCAGCGGCGGTGGGCCTTTCGGTAGTACAGAGGGGGGAACCTGTACTCAATTCCCAGCTCCTTGCACGTCTTCTCAAAGACAACATAGCTGGTTTTACGGAGGAATTTGAGCTTTTTCTTTCTTTGGTCGATGCTCATGAGCAGATAGCGCTTGTGGGCTTTGTCCTTTCGGTGTTTCTTCATGTGTTCTTCATAACTGCAGATCTTGATAGTCAAGGCAACAATTTGAGCTTCCAGGGATCTGGTGTCCTCAGGGGTTACCAAAATCTTGTTCATCAACTGCTCCTGCTTGACTTTTAGCTTCTCCTTCTGGTTAGCCATTTCCAAAGACAAGAGCCTTTTCACCACATCATCAACCTTGTCAATTCCAGGGATGTTCTGGTAGTCTTTGAGCAACGTGGAAGGGGGCAGGTCATCATCTTGGATGGGCTGGACTGTGGCTTGTTTCTGGCTGGCAAATCCGCGGGCGGCCTGGAGGAGGAGACCTCGAGGTTGCAGACCCCATTGCTTTGAGGAAAGCCTGGTCTTCCCTCTCTCTGACACCCTAAAGACTGGTGCCTGGGTTACTGCCTGGGTCCGAATCGAACTCCGTGCCCTGCACGCTGCCCACAGCATGGTGACTTACTTAAGATGTTTTAATCACAAATAAGTAATCATCAATCTCATAAATTCTACTTTCTGTGTTTAAAAATCTTAGTTGTACAGTAACAAAATACAAATTAGAATGTGTAATAAATACACATTTTTAACACTTACAAACACTTAGGCTGTAAACACTTGGTCCCTATCACTCTGTTCTGCGTCTTTTTATTTTTTTAAATGTGTTTAGCACTCAGAAACTTCTTGTTCTGAAATAAATACCATTTTAATTGTTACACAATTATTTCCTTATTTTTCTTAGTAGCTTCAACACAAAATATATAGTTTCACACTATAGTAATACATAACATGTATGTTGTGTTGTTGTGGATTGCTGTCGGGTTGAGCACGACTCATAGCGATCCTAAAAACAAAAGACCTGAAGCCTTTTTAGAATTATCATCATTTCTCAAAATTCATAGAGTTTCCAGAGGCATGTTGTTTAGGAAGTAGATGCCACTCTTGCTCACACATTATCTTAAATATTTTTCACACAATAGTAATACATAGTATAGTGGTCATGGTGCTGTATACCATCAATTTGGAACTGACTCTGTCAGCTTTTCTGAGGCAGTTAATCACACGAGATTACTCGTCATTCTCCCTCAATATAGTATTATATAATAATATGTATATCACACAAAAAATAATATGTATATCACTAAGTAATATCTAGTGTGCTTTACCTAGTTTTGAACTTTTAAGTAAATGGAATCATATGCTATATGTTATTTTTAGTCTTTTTCCCCCCTTAATCTTATGTTTTACATATTCAAGCATATTATATAATGCTGGGGTTTGTTCATATAATTCTCTTTATATGCTTATGCCCCAGTAATATTTACTCACTTAAATATTGGCCGATATTTTAGTGTTTCCATTTTTGTTATGATAAATAACCTAATGTTTTTGTGCATACAGAGAACTGTGGTGGCTGAGTGGGGAGGGAGGTGCACTGCAAACCCAAAGGCACATCATTTGGTTGCTTTGTGGCAAAAAGATGAGCATTCTCGTCACATGCAATGTATTGCATCTGAGAACCTGCTGGAGGGTCAGTCAGCTAAGATTCATTTCTGACTCCACAGCAATGAATGAGTGAGTGAGTTTGTGCATGTACTTCTGTAGAATCAGAATTGAATTACTAGGGGCATAGGGTTAGGGATCCTCAGTGTCACTGCTTTCAGAAGTGACTTAGCAGTTTGCATTGCCAGTGGTAGTGACTGAGAGTTCTATTGCTCCATCTTCTTGGCATCACTTGGTATTTTCAGAGTTAAAAGTTTGCCTGTATGTTATATAGTAGTATCCCACTTTGGATTTCGTTTCCATTTCCCTGACTTAAGCAACTCTTTTATCTATCTATCGTAGATAAGCATTTAGATCATTGGATTTCTTCTTTGATCATGTCCCACCACCTTTCTCAGCATGATGTCCTTTTTCAAAGGCTAGCCTCTCTTTTTGTTTCTTTTTTATTTTATTAGTTTTAATGAACATTTACAGAGATTTTGGGTTTTCATTCATTCATTGTTGCACTGTTTTCTCTACCCTCCTCCCCAGTTCATTCTTCTTTTTTCCCCCCCTTGAATGTCTGTTTTAATTGTCCAGTTGCCACAGTGCTTATCAAAGCCAGTTCTGATTA